TAGGTAAAAATGTGAATTGAAAAACCATAGAAACACTTTAGAAACAAATAAATTGTTTCTTATTTGACAAAAGAAATGAATATATTTGTTCAGTAAGAAAAATTACTGTGGACTCAAGGTTTGACGTACATACATAAATACATGAATACATATATACATATAAAAGTCAAACGTTTCTTCCACAATAATTTCGTTACAACGCTGAAGGTTTTTTTTCCATTTTTCTATTTCGTGTGATCTAGATTCATAGCTAGGTCGAATTTAATATCTCTGAAGTAGAAGTTTAGCGACCGGGTGCTCTGATAGGTAGCTGTTCGTTTCATCTATTCTTACACAATCACATACATGCGCTGCAATACCACTAATTTTGGGAGACCAGTGGGGATCTTAGAGCTTGTCGCGGCTGGGGCAGAAAATGCCTCTAATAAAATATTAACAAAATGAGGTTCTTGCTTCTGCATAGTTATTTAATTTTTAATTATTTTATGTCAACATTTTTTATTTTTTAAAATTTTTTTAAAGGATTAATTAGTAACGTGAAGTATTGCTCATGGGCCAAAGTTCTGTTTATAATAAATTCTGGAATAAACTGATTTATGACAAACTTAATCTTGCAATCTGGAGACTAAATCTTCTAGGATATTGTTATTTCTCTCATACGTATGTTACATTTTTTAAATTTAACTTCATTATCATTGACATTATGGAAATTAATTTTAGCACAATACTCGCAGCGAATTATTTTCGGTTTTTGAACAATTATGTACCGCAGGAACCTCCTGCTTACGGTTTCAAGAGGTTAGGACTTATTTCTATATTAGCCTTTTGGCATTTGTTTCCCCACTTCCAATGCCCTCATGAGATATGGATGAGATACGTCACCGGTTTCTAGAAGATCGTATGTGTTTTTATAGAAGTAGGAGAAGACAACGTGGCAAGCGCTGTGCTTGATGTGCATGTTTTTCTCAATATTTATTGTTAATAAAGCCAGTAAATATTGGTACTGATTTTGAAAGTAGTCTGAGTGCTGGTCCTCAGGATCGCCTTGAACAGGACTTTTCCGTAAAAATCCCCAACTTTGTTTTCTGTTGTTTAACTAAATATTCCATGTTTTTAATTTTTTTTTTCATTTGACAAGTCGGCCATTATCTATCTGCCTTAATAAACCTATTAGTGGCAGTGAAGTATTCTTCGCTCTTTTAGGATTAAGAGATGAGATATGCATGAGATATGTCACCTGGCCGTGAATGAATAATACCGGAAACGTCACAGTGACTATAAACCCACAGATGTACAGAGCAGTCAGCTGACAGCTTAGCCTGCACGTGGTGGAGATCTGAGAAAACGAATATAAACAGAAAATGTTTGAAGATCACGGGGGAGATAAGAACGTGTCACGCGAATTGTACCTGTGGCCCAAGTTTCAGGCAGCTCTTGCAGTTGCACTATTTATTTCAAAACTTAACGACGTAACAGAACTGAAAAATAATTCCATTGGAAAATTTATCAGTCACTATCAGTGACTGAAAAAATATTTCATTCACTAAAACTATTTAAATTTCAATACACTTCAGAGGACATTTATGCGTCTGTGTTGATAAAAAACGTATTACATTATAAAATATATCTATCTTGCAAATATTAACAAGCAAATCTAGCAAATAATTGATGTTTTAAAAGAATTGAATTGCTAGCCCTTCTTGCAATGTGAGGAGAGAACTACAATATCACATCTTAGATATCTCCCTTTGTATGTTGGTATACTTATTAGGAGGTACTACATGAACAATGAATGACGTTCGACAATTCACTACACGAGATCAATTGCCTACACGTGAAAGGCATCAATACTAAATGGGGAAGTATCCTTTTGGGATTTATTACAGACTAAACTGACAGCCTGAATTAATTTTGGTTACAGTTATTTGAGTACATAAAAACGTTGAAACATACACGTGGTCATATCTCGAAAATCATTATTAGAATAATAAAAGGCTTTAGACCCGAAGTTTCTCTTGATCAGTTTCAAGCCACGTTCGGAATAAATAGTGAAGGAGAATTATCACATCAAGAAAGTTTATGTCATTATTATTAGACAATTTATTACAATTTTATATGCATTTGTAACACTCCACAATCTTTTCTCATGTTCTTCTTATTGTTTCGTCTACAAACTAATTACTTCAGCGGAATGAGATCATAAGCCATTCAATTATGCATGGTAAAGATAAAGGCTGTGCTTCTGAATATGTGGGTTGCGACCCCAAGAGTTACTTAAAGATATCAGTAAGTCGTGGAATTTTCCTCGGTATCGGAGACAGCACCAACAAAAACCTTAATTTGTGGCAATGACTAGCAAGTTTTAAAGAATTTACTCAAAAAATTAATTATCTTTATAATTATATTATTTAGAAAATTGGTATAATAATGTAAGCATTAATAAATTCAAAGGTGAAGATGAAAATATTTATAAAGAAATGATGATGTAGGGGACTGAAATTAAATGGAAATATTCAAAATTTTGTTAATAAAGTTTATGGACTTTAATGGCTTCATGGTGAGTACCTTGCAGAAGTTTAAAAAAGACCAAAAAATATTGAACGGGTTGTACAAGTTTTCACGTAATTGAAGTCAAAGCAATAATTGTAACTCTGAACGATTCATTAAGAGTGTATAATAATACTACTTTAAAGGTAGAAAGGTATTGAAAAGGAATAAAACAGCTGCCAAGGGGAGCCCATACGCTTGATACGTTTTGCTTAAATCTTAGGGAAGCGGAGAAAGATGCATCCATCTCGTGTAGGAACCATGAAATCTGACTGCGAAACGTTAGAGAATATATGCAATAGATTATTTGAGCAAGTATAAAGAGAAAATGTTGCGAATTCAGGTAGATACCGTTAAAATTTCGGCTGCCTAGTCTGCTCAATTGTCTAACTCTACTTGATCTAATTATCAGATCCGATTGTTTGCTAATCGTAACAATAATTTACACCCGTAAGAAATAGACAAACTGCGTTCTGTGTGATTAAGTCTAAATATTAGGCATTTCCAGCAAAGAGCGGAAACAATATGAAACAAATTAGAACCCGTCTCTCAGGGCAATATCATGGTACATTCCGATTTTCTCACATAATGGTGCATTTTTCATTTGCATTTCATGTTCTGTAATTTAGTTCTGGGTGACCAGCAAGATTAGAGAGCTTGACAGTCGAGTACTAAGATAACCGTTTGAAGTTCACCGTATAAAGAGATTAAGTGTTTTGCGATCTAGGAGAATCGTTGAACACTTACGGAATTACTGCAACGCAGCAATACGTATCAAATAGGGACGTCAATCACTCGCATATTCATGGAATGACGGAAAGTATGGAATCATGGCACACCGAATGGAACAATGACGTCTGCTCCTTTCAGTGTAGTATAATATATACTCGTAACCTGCGATCAGCCTCACTAATGCCCGAGGGGAGAAGAGGGCGAGAGAATGTTGCCGTCCGAGTGAAACGAGCGCAGCCACCTCTTCGCGTTCGACCCGAAACCCAACGGAGTCTCTGGGTTTCAAAAGTAATTTTCGGACTCCGGGTTAAATGGAAAATCTCAAGGTTGTACGAGCAATGAAATTCGTTGTGAGAAGTATAGGATGGAGAGGGGAAAATGTGTACTAATTTTCAAAAATGAGGGAATTTGATAGAACTCCCTAGTGATAGTAAGTTGTACGAACGTGAAGAAGAAAGATTGGAAGTAAAAAAAACGTATTGACTGCTCTCCCTCAAAAATAATCAGAAAAAAATCCTATACAGTTTTGTTGGTCTTGAACTACCCTTTCGCGCTAACAGGCAAACTACTCGTACTAGATCTTACAGGAATCCCAAGCACAGTACACATTTGCCCCACTGTCTGGGGTAAATGTGTCCTTCTGTCTTTAATACTGATACAACCATGAAATCGTCAAATGGTTCATATACATCGTCATATTCATCATCCATCGTCAAATGGTTCATATACAATTTAGAATAATTGCACTAAATGATGAAATAGAAAAATATACTTTTTATGTAATGTAAACCCACTAGAAACCGGCAAAGTTGAATTTTGCTGAAAATAGTACGCAATTACCTCACTTCACACTACAGAATTGTTAGGCAGAAATTACAACGAAAAGTTATCCACATGATTGTGGTATTTGTCTTTGTCTTCACATGTCCAGGATAAAAGAGGATAAAATAGGAATGAAATATCGCGCGCGACCTGTAGCCCGTTTGTTATGGTACTGCTCCAGCATTCCCCTGGTGTTGATTGGAGAAACCACCGAAAACTACCGACAAGAGCAACCGGCCTCTAGAATTCTTCTCCAGACAGCGAGTGAATTCGTCGTAGCTGACAAGCTAGTGACGAAAATCCTGCAACTGTCGGGACTCGAACCTTGGACTGGAGATGCGTTTATCGGAGAAAGCATGGAAAATTACAAGCAGCAGCCATCGGTTGCGACTCCACCTCCAGACAGCAGGCGAATTCGCCCTGTCTCTCTAGCTCGTCGTTAGCCAATAGTTGATGGTTTCCAAAAATCCAATAGGTACGTACCGAGTTCTTGGCGAAGGCCAAGCCCAGCCACGAGGCGGTCATGAGCGCGCCGAGGGCCAGCAGCAGGCGTCGGCGGCCCAGGCGGTCGGCGGCCCAGCCGGCCGGCAGCGCGCCCAGCAGCGCGCCCAGCGGCGTGAGCGCGCCCACCCACGACGCCTCGTCGTCCGTCAGCGGGCGCTGCGGCCCGACCCACGTCGACGCGTTGCCCGGCGACTCGCCCCCGGGCTCCGGCGCGTTGCCCTGCAGGTACGGCAGCACCGGCGCCGTCCAGCCCAGCACGGACCCTCCGCAAAGCGCGGCCAAGGTCGCTACGCAAGGACGCGAGAAGCGAATCAACCAACGAGACAGCAAGTGAAGGAACTGAGAAGTGCATGAGTGGTACGACGTCTAGTCGTACGTTGTTCTTTTTTTGAATTGGGCTGTCCGCGTGAAGTCGCGTCGAAGACTAAGGTGCCGATCCGTGGTCTTCTTCAGGGCAGCAGTGCGATAGCTCACGACACTACTGCTCTGAAGAAGACCACAATATGATGGTCGAAACATCGCGAACTCATCGCGTGAAGTCGCGTCGAAGACTAAGGTGCCGACTCGTGGTTTTCTTCAGGGAAGCAGTGCGATGGCTCGAGTCACTGCTGCTCTGAAGAAGACCACAATATGATGGTCGATACATCGCGAACTCAGCCTTCGACGCGGCGTCACCCGGAGGACACACTTTTATTCACTTATCACTCATCACACAGATAATCATTCACGCAGGTCATTCATGACTTCAACCTTAAAATTTTCAGAATGGCCAGTTTTTAAACATGCGACTTCTTTTTATTACAAAACTCGTTCTTTCTACATTATATTTTAAATTACTTTCCGTTCGTCTTGGCGACACCATTACACCTTGACGACGACCGGGCTCGTTCACCTTTCTAAGCACTTATGGAATTCCAAAATTACTCGTTCAACTAATTTAATTATATTTCTAAAAATTATTAACTTATTCGTCCATACTGTTACTCCCTGCAATATTTCCTTCCGCGTGATACTCACAACTGCTGAAACTACCCGCTCGTCCTCACAAAACGATCTTCATCTCGTCTAAACTAGATATCTTCTTCTCTCTCCATCTCGTAAACTCAATAGGTGTTGTTTGTACCAGCACAAGAGCCAAATGGTTCATAGTTCTCAAAGGAAGTTCAGCTTCAGAGAAATCTTACAATATGAATGTATACATTTTGTATAAGTTGTGTGTAACTCGGCAACGTGGGGTTGTTGAAGGGAGAACTTGGTTGAGTTCGTTAGAGAGTTGAGAGAATTGATGCCTGAGTGTAGGCCTCTTGAATATCTCTTTAATACACACTTAATAGTAGCCTACTTCACTTCTATAAGTCTCGTCGCAGGCAGTCAGTTCCTCTTATCCCTTCGACCAGGGGCTCGGAGACGGTATATTCCGGGGATCCTAGCCTGTCACCTAACCAAGAACCCGCTAGTGTCGAATTCGCTTATCCTCCGCGACTGCACGGAGCGTAATAAACGATTTTTTTCTCTTTTATGTATATTTTATTTCTTTAATATTTTCCCCTGTAATAAGTAGCATTTTATAGTCTAGCAATTTCAACCCAGCAATTTCATTTTGCGGCGGAATTCAGTTACTGGACTGTCCATATTTATGATAAAACTGGTTTTTCTAAAAATATGAGGTATGGATTAACTCATTATTTATTGAAGAAGAAACAAATGCTTTCATTTGGCTGAGGTATGTCAGTGACAATTACATTATTTGATGAAAAAATTATTATACAATTTGGAAATATAGTTCGTCTTGTCGAAAAACTTCGACATGTGCTTTTTTTTCTCCGTCGCATGGCGGCGACGAGACAGACAGGTCTTGGAGGCGTCATGGAATTCAAATTGAACCTCTCAAAATAACCGTACATGTGCTAATTTTCTCATACCACACTATTTTCAAATTACTTAAAGTATTATTTTCTCATGCATTTTAAAATGTAAGTTATTCATTATAATACATCAAATATTTGGAATAATTTGCAAGCCTTAAACCTAAGCGGTGTGTGTGAGAGAGAATAAAAGTATGTCTGTTTTAAGTAGGGATTGCAGTTTATGTATAGTGACTTGGTGAAAAAGCGGCAGTGTTCCGCACAAGGTGATGAACAAATGTTTCTTGTGTCGTTAAAAAAACCTTCCTTTTAGTACATCAGGTCGTTAAAGAATTCTAATCTCCAAAGGTTCGAGAATACACTACTTGTGATGAGTTGAAAAGCTAAGCATACTGCTAATTTTCGCAGAATAGAAAAGTCACATTATTCGGATTCAAACGACAAAAAAATTGTTTATTGCTAATATCGGGGTGGAAATAAAGATGGCCATGTATTGAATCGAAGAGCCAAAACGTTCTGTCCGATGTTCGGAAAACAGCAGTTATTCCGTCAAGGCAAATGACCTCCCGAGTCGATGAAACGCACAGTAACTGATAAAATTTTAAAATAGAGATCTCCATATGCTAAGATATTTTATGATTTCATGTCTATTTCCATTCCAAAATAAGCATTTTATTATAATCACACGAAACAAGAATGGGGCACATGTGCGTAAATAGATGTTTCCTGCTAGTAAATTTGTCTTCGCATTGCGCGAGGAATTCAAGTCTATTTTAGAACAGCTTTCATTGCATCCTGTAGCAACACTGAAAAATACTTTTATTGCATTTAGCATGAACATAGATTAAATGGGACCAGATACCTAGTCTTTGAGATATATTCTCAAAAGGGGTGCTAAAATATTCCCTTATCTTGCAATCTAACTGTAATAATTTTTTTACTGCTAGAACGATTGCTAGAATGACTTCTTGTTATGCTGGGTGTCAAATGAAAATGAAAAGTGAATATCCATGAAAGTAAACAAAGAGAAAATTGAATGCAATAGGAAGTTAATCCCTTTCCAGATGGAATTAAATACTCTAGTGTAAGCGATGTAGCAACGTTGAGCTGACACGTGTATCTTATGAATGTGTATCATATGTCCTCTTAGTTTACTAAGCCAAGACGGAATTACTTACGTAAGATAAAGTGTTTGTATATTCAAGTATATTGCATGAGAACAAAGTTTATTTGGAAATGAAAATTCCATATTCATTATATTTAAACGACTTTTGTGTGAACGATTCGCGCCTAATAATTGCTACTGTTGATTTTAAAATATAATTGATTAAATGTTGACCGTGCTATTGAAACTTCTGTCTATTGTTCGTCAAAGTAAAGAATAGTTACCAATGTTTACTGAATATTTTTCATATTATATCTAAGAAACGCATATAAAAGCAATCATAGAATTTGTCAATGAGAAAAGGCATGGGGAACGGTTACTAGTTAACTAAAATCATAGTCTAATAGTGAAATTCATTTCTAATTAAATAGAATTTAATAGTTTGTGAAAACATCAGAATTGTGGCACAAAAGTCTGAAATACAACACGATTTTTTTTCTGTTCATTTTCAAGTACGATTCTTTCGATCGCTGCACAAGAAAAGATATGATGTTGGCACTTGTACTCCACAACTGTATATGTGTAAACGGAATCGAACTAAGAAAGAACAAAATTCTAGTCTACAATGATATTTTCTGTTCGGTAAAACGTAATACCAACACATTCGCACAAGACACATCACATGGCACAACCCGAATCCACAAAACCGAAAATTTCTCGCAGCCTAACGGAAATTTTCGTCACAGAAGGCCGGAATTTCGGACCGTTTGAGCAGCAGATTAAATTGCTTTCAAGGCTGATAAGAGGGGGTTTACGGGTCGTCTGTTGTAGTTAGTGATTAGCTCGAGTTTGTAAACACGGGCGAACGCGGCGAGTGCTCGGTCCAGCACTGTTATCGCCCGAACGCCCCCGCCGGGGGAGGAGGGCGGGGGCGGGGGGGCGCCCGGCGCTCGCGGTATTTTAAGCCGTCGTGCCGGTCGTCTCTAGGCCGCCGCGCCCGCCCTTCGGCGGATTACGCGTTGTTTGCCCGAGGTGTCTCGCGAGCAAATTCGCGCCACGTGTAAAGCCCCGGTCGCGTCACGTGACTGCCAAATTTTGTAGAATAAACCGGATAGAGGCTGGATTCAGTTTAACAAAACTTCCATTGTAAATCAGAAGGCATGTTAAATTACTTGGCGGATAAATATTAAGGCAAAACTAGATTCTACAGCGGTTTTGAACGATAGTTGGATTGTGAGCGTGCTCACATGCCCGCGTGTATGCCCAAGGTTGTTAGGTCTCGACACGTGTTCTGCCAAATTTTGTAGATAAACCGGATAAGAGAGTGGGATTCGAATTTAACAGAACTTCCATTGTGATTTTGCCAAAGGAAATCAGAAAACGATGTGTTAAATTACTTGGCGGATAAATATGAAGCAAAACTAGATTCCACAGCGGTTTTGAACGAAAATTGGATCGTGAGCGTGCTCACATGCCCGCGTGTATGCCCAAGGTTGTTAGGTCTCGACACGTGTGCTGCCAAATTTATTAGATAAGTTGGATAAGACTATGCAGATTTAACAAGAATTCAAATGTTTTTGCCAAATGGAATCAGAAAAGCGATAGGTTAAATTACTAGGCGGTTAAATATAAATAAACACTATTTTCCAAACAGTTTCGAATAAAAGTCGTGTCGTGAGCGTGATTAAACGACCGTGTGTAAGCCCAAGGGAGATCAGGTCGTGTCACGCGCTATGTCAAATTTTGTAGATAAGCTGGATAAGAAGCTGAGCAGATCTAACAAAACTTCAATTGCTTTTTTGACAAATTTTGAACAAAGATTATTCTGGCTGAATAACATCTTGAGAAAGTATCCAGAAAGTGATGAAATATCAGTGTGAATTTCTTTCTTAATATAATCTTGTTATTGTTTTTCTGAGTGACTGTTACATTAGTAAGATAGATGCTCAAAGACCGTTGAATTACTCGCTTAGTTTTTATCATTAGCAGAGCGTTCATTTCGCAATAGCTGTATAATCTCTTAATATATGAGCTACTTTTGAAAGTCATTTGCGTTAGTTTTGCGAGTCATTTTTTTGCTTACACAGACATATTAATGTGTTCGGCGAACCCATAATGAAATACTAAGCATGAAATGTTGATGTCGTTTTCTTTTCATTCCAATTTTGCAATGTAATTTTGTTTATATAGAAGATAGATTAGGTAGTTAAGTAGGGATTAGGGTTTTACACATTATCCACGCTTTCCTGGATGAACTATGACGTCTTTCAAATTAACAGAACCACCCGGACAAATTGTGGGTCTGTTAACTCCTCAGCATTCCCGACCTCCAAAGGCAGTCAGGGTCATTTCACTTTCTCATATATGAAGTATGTAACAGACAACTGATTGTAATTCTACCGATAATCGATGTCGAGATTTTGTGAAAAATACAATTCTGAGAATTTCTAAACTCAAAAACAGTTTATTTTGAAAAACTCCGTTACTCTTCTACAGTTATTTTATCGAAAAACTCGTTTCACGAGCGTTACTTAAATCTCAAATTTTCTGTTTTAAATGCTTATTTGATTAACATAGTCCACACGTGAAGATTAAAGTCTATTTTTATTGAATTTTGTGTAACAATGACAGTACAACGTTCAACCGCAAGGCTTTTCAGTGAATTGGTCGAGTAACTAATTCTATTAGAGATTTTTTTAAAATGGCAAAGATTGGTGCAGGTGGCAAAGGGTACCTGCGATATTGAACCCGAAAATCGAGTTGTCTGAATGAATGGAGAGTGGATAGACGTATGTCGCATAACTATCAGATTAGAGGCTATTGAGCTGAACCTTCGTAAATGCGGTAGTAAGTTCTGGTTCTGCGGATTCAGATATCATTAACATATTTTGGTTTTTAGGTATTTTCCTTTAAAGTCCTGTGACATTAAAAAAAATCTGAAAAACTGCTGCTAATGTTCCTTGTAATTTGTTACTTTAATTGTAGCTGTATAAATGATAAATAGTTACGTTTTTCATTAAATATATAAAATTTTATTTATTTCAAAACTTCAATTACTTTTGTACCTGCCCTAAACCTTTCTACACATTCAATATTAATGGTTTAATTTTGGATGCAATTTGTCCATCGATTACATATATTTAATTGACGCCATAATTTATCGTAAATGTTAAGAACAGTGCAAGGAAGAAACATTTCGGTTCTCCCATTAGTTTTGAGGGAGGGGGTACTTTTCACGAAATGTTATTTTCATACAAGAACAATTGGGACGTATTTAATTTTGCAAACAAGGGTTTAATTCGTATTTCGTAAGATTAATTCATATTTTCAAAACACTTTTTCAAAAGATAGCTGAGTAGGATAGAATTTTCAATATCAGAAAATTACGTAACCACTACCATTAATATAAACCATAAAAACTGACGTGGTGTCATTAGTCTGATTTTTAATAAGTCTATTAGAAATCTTGTTTTATTTAAAATTATAGGTATAATTTATATTTACTGAAGTGCCTTAACGAATGTAATTACTCCATACAAACTCTTAAAGTCTTACTAAATAATGAGAACTTATACTTCTGTTCCCTGGCCACCTTGGTAACCATTTGAGCTTCACTTTTTTTTTCTTTTACTCGAAGGGATTTCCAGGTTTATTAACAAAAAGACAACTGGGGGGGGGGAATATTTCGCGTCGACCTCAATTCAGCTGTACATCGAACGACGCTCACCAGTTCTCCAGGCTGTAAAAAAAAGCTCCCTTCGGAGGCTACGCGCAGTCACAGCAACTGATCGATAACCGTGGAAATGCGCTTGAAATCGCAGGGCGAGCGCGAGAATCCATCGAACTGCGCGCGGTTCGTCTTCATATCCCTCCCTCCCTTGCCGTTCTGTCCGCGTGTCTCGCCGCAGCACCGGCTGGCGGGCACCGGATCGCGCGGGTATTACCGCGCAAGAGGCTTAAACAGCGCAGAGGAAGCGCTGCCCGTGATTTGTTTTGCTTCGCGCGAGGATCTGCAGCCCATCGCACCAGCCCCCGGCGCCCGACGCCGCCGCGCCGGTACGCCTCTACAATCGCCCATCGCCCAGGCTTATCGCCCGAAGCACAGTGGTAACTTTCTCGAATCTAGAGAGCCAAATATTTGTGATGAAGAGGTGATGGTAAAATGCGGATGTGATGCGGAAGTGATGGTCGTGTGGTATTGCAGTAGTTTAGACCCGCGCTGCCCGTTGCCAGAACTGCGAACAGATTGGGCGCGATAGCCCGCTGAAGAGCAGCCTTCGGTATTCGCCTTTATTTAGGCTAGAGCCGGTAGCGCCCCTCCGCCCCTCCTCTTCCCTGTCAACGGGCCGACTCAACAACACCTGTGGCTCTCGGGTTAATCGCCGGGCCAGGACACATCAATTTAGTTTCGCACTTCAGCATCCCTCATGTAGAACACAGAGACTGGCCAATATTTTTTTTAAAAGATAGAAAACACTTTCGATTGCATTGCGGTCTTGATTATGTGCTGTGTGTTATGTGACTGGAAGTGACTTCAGCAACAAAACAGCAACGTGTATTTCTCTAAGAGGTATCTAGCTACAATCTGTGATATATTTACAAAAATATACTAACTTTACGTGCGTTTAGATGTTCGTTTTTTTACGTAGATGTGGGATTGTGTTTAAGGGCGTTGAAACGTAATTGCAAAGTACTGGAATTGTATCGTATCTGCTGCATCGTATTTGCATCACTGCCGAATCGAGATTGTGACACACAAGCTAAAGTCCGGCCATTCTGCAACGGCATCTCCCCAACTAGACTCCCTCAGCGGCGCCAGTCGCTCCGCGCTGCCGAAGCGGAAGAGCGCAGCCCCGAACCTCAGGTGAAGCTGCGCCGCGCGGGGAGATGGCCGGGTGATCCGACGGGCGGTTGCGCATGCGGTCGCCTGCTCGCCGCGCGCTGCTGTTGATCCGCACACGACGTCCGCTGATCCACACCCACCCCTTCGTCGGCCCTTCTCCTTCCTCTCTCCTCCGCCTCGCCCTGCCGCGATTCGGCATGCTCCAGTTCCCACTTATGCCTGCTCCATTTTCTGCCTCTCACCCCCGTTTTGTCGCCCCTGCTTCTGCCTGCGCTAGCGTCTGTCCGCCATAGACTTTGCC